AATGTCCAATCCTGGACCACTTTATCTCATTTCTGGACATGTGCTGATATGGTCATCTGTTTCTGTTTTTTGGGCATATTCAGTAGTTAGCTGTGGCCTTAATACTTAAATGTGTATGTGTTTTGCTATTTTTTATGCTTTCTGATTGCCTCCAGGTAGATGTGACCAGGAGATAGGCTTCCCTTTTCACTCTTCTTCTTGAGAAATAAAGTGACTGAGACAAATGAGCTGAAGGTAGACCTACACTCCATACTGGAAAGAAGGCAGGCTTTGGAAATGCTGGAGAAGGAATTCAGAAAAATGATTATAAAATGTATCAAAACACTATAAAATGGAGTTGAGAAAAATAAGAAAGAAGTCAGAAAAGTGCTACAGGAACAATCAAATAAAATAGATACAGCACTGGAAACAACTCAAAACCTGCAGAAAGAGATCCAAACAATTAATAATAGAATACAGAAATGGACAATACACCAAAACGAAAAAGGAGTAGAATTGAAGAGATGGAAACCAGAACTAGTGAGCTAGAAGATAAACCTACTAAGATAGAAGAGCAAGCATAAAAAAGGATAAAAGAATCTGAAGAAGGGCTAAGATTCTGTTGGACAATATGAAGAGGAATAACTTAAAAATTATCGTCATTCCATAACAGGAAGAATCATGCAAGCCCACAGAGGAGATAGTTGAAGAGCTTCTGGAAGAAAATTTTCCCAACATCCTGAAAAGCAAAAAGATAAGCATTCAAGAAACTCAACAAACCCCAGGAAGGATAGACCCTAAAAGAAAATCACCAAGACATATCATAATCTAACTCTTCAAAATCAAAGATAAGGACAGAATCATGAAAGCAGCTAGGGAAAACAGAAGTGGAGCATACAAAGGCAATAAAATCAGATTAAGCTCAGATCTCTCAACAGAAACCATGCAGGCAAGAAGGAAATAGGGAGACATATATAAAACTCTGAAAGAAAAAAAAATTACAACCAAGAATCCTCTACCCAGCAAAGCTGTCAATTATATATAAAGGTGTAGTCTAAATATTCCAGGATAAATAGAAGCTAAGGGATTTTGTCAAAGCCAACCCTGCTATGAAAAACATTCTAAAGGGAATTATGTGGACTGAGAACCAACAAGAACAGACAACAACCAGAGATTGGTGTATGTGGCAGCATCAGCCAGAACTCAATCAACAAATGAGAGTTGAGAACAGAATAAAACTGTAAGAACAAATTCAGAGGATCTGGGAGGTTAGTCCATGATCAAAGGAATTACTATGTGAAAGAAGGTAAACACAGAAGAACAGAGAACCAGGTGGTGAGAAGGTCAGGTAGATTACAGGATAAAATAGACTGTCTTAAATGGAGGGAAAAGTTAATGGAATATAAGGTAACCACAATGATTGGGTTAAGGTTTTTTAGGGGTAAGGGTAAGGGTTTTAAGGGGAGGTGGAGGGAGGCGACAGCAGAGTACAGGGTAAGAGCAGACAGAGCATAGTTTGGGTGTTGGGGAGAGCAATACAAGAAGGGGGAAGAGATGTAAGAACAAGGTAGATAGGGCAATACTGAGACAGATTTGCATGGGCTCAGTGGGACTGAGGTAAATAGTGATGCATGGTCAACCTTGGAACAACAGGACTCTGTGATACAGGGATCTAGGCATAGTTTGAAGAGAGGAAATAATACTAAGATGCTTGATTGTCTTATGAATATTGGTTTCACTTGCCTACTATTGTAAAATAGACACTTGAGTGGGACAAAAAGGAATGTTGGGAAACTTGATTACAGAAAACCATTAAGCCCATCTTCAGCCTATAACTGATTGGAATACCTAAAAGGGGATCTAGAACTTGCCCAGTGAAATAGGCTTCTTGCGGATCCTTTGTAGTATATAGGACCTTAGGTGGAATCCTGAGTCCCATCCAGAACCTTCTGAGGTGGGACATTCCCACTAGAAAGGATAAGCAGACCAGCCTGGAACAGCTTGAGCAATAGAAGATACATCTTCATAGAAATCAGGAAAAACCCAAAACAAAATGTCAGTATAACTGGCTACTACAAGAGCAAACAAGCTGTTCACTGGGGAGCCATCAAGGCAAGCCATCAAGTTCCTTCAGG